ACCCATTAATATAACTGATGTGAACAACTTTGGTAACAATTAGAAAAATTGAAATTATAATATTTTCGCATCCTTAAACTATTCATTGCACAATTAAAGAATTGTGTGTATATATGATTAATAAACGTATAACTTACGAAGATCAAGCTCGGCCGCCACAAGCTCGACCAGAAGTGTTTTACCGAGCAAGCCAGCAATACCATCGGCTAATAATCCACGGCTGAGGCCCAATTGCGAAAGTACACTTCCCGCCGTTTGAAGCACAGTCACAATGGCCCTCAAGCTCGTCGTTTTTCCGGTGGCGGCAGACGAGCCGTGCTGCCGGAGAACAGGGTTTTTCGCGGCCGACATGGAAGAATTATGTGAGGGGAAAGGCTTGCTCACTGGATTATGCAATGGTTCATGAAAATGCTTTGTGCAGTTTATATGTGGGAATAATGTTGTTATATATGTGTTTTAAATAAGCATCAATTTTAGAGTATTGTGACAATATTTTTTTAATTGTGTTTTTTTATTAGAACTTATTTCTTAAAATAATAACACTACATATATAATAATATTTGCTTTTAATATGACAGCATTATATGTAGCCGGTTACAAGAACACTTTTGACCAGATTTTTTTTTTTTTTTAATTCAAAATATAACTCAACTCAACTCTTTCTAATATTATCAATATAATTAAATAATGTCGATCATCATTATACATCACATCAATTTCAATGGACTATTCATCCACCCACATAATTTTAATTACTCATCAATTCCAATTACTTCTTTTTTACTTTTACATCAAATCAACTTTAATCATTTTATTTTAAATATTATTTAATACAAATTCTAAATTCTACTTAAACATAACTCAAACAATTTTTTTTTTTAGAAATTAACTCTGGTTATCCAACATATCCAATCAATATATGACAAAGAATATTCTACATTGTTTTTACGATTCTACTATACTGATTTTTAGTAGATCGACATGATGCATTTGTGTGTATGTATTATATATAAGTTGTACCTACTTGGGGGATCATTATTGGTAGATGAGTTGTATAAAAAAGAGTAGATATATTAATTAAGTATGATTATTTTGGTTTTTGTAGTGATGAAACTATAAATTGAAGTTAGCACTTTTAATAATCATTTTTCTGCAATACAAAAAACATTTTTCTGCAATACAAAAAATTGAGCTATAAAAATTTATATATTCAAATCTTAACAAACATAGTCAAGTTGAGTTCTTAATTTAAGATGAACAACGCCTAGTCGAGTTCAATCCTTAAGAATACAAGTTGATCTAAGCTCACATTTCATATAACAATTATAATGATAGCATTTTTTTAATTACATGTTGATCTAACATTTCATATAACAATTATAATGATAGCATTTTTTTAATTACAAGTTGATCTAAGCTCACGGACGGCTCATTTCATATAAATAGCATTTTTTCAATTACTTTTTTACAATTATAGTGAACATTTAGACTTTGATGCTTTATCATGTGATATTCGAATAATGCTGATTAAATTAAAGGGAACATGGCCAGTAAAATAGGTACGAACTTCCTAACACGTTACAACTAACTTTAAAAAATTTAACCTTCAAATATTTGACTTTGTTGTATAGTACCTACTTGGATATGAATTATTTACAAAAAAATTTAACCAAATATTTGACTTTGTTGTTAAGTACCGTAGTTGGATATGAATTATTGTAAAGTGCACAATTTAAATATTAGCTTGAAATCCTGCCTTTGATTTGTCAACTGTAACTTAGTTTTCGTTTCATTATACAATAATGTAAGAGGGACGAAGAAATAAATAAACACCGCAGTTGTTATCGCATTAAATCAAAAATAAGATCCCAATTACGACAATTTGATGTGACGGCTGAATGAAATTTGCAAGAGGAAACAATTATATGTATAATGTATATGGAACATCAATAAATTATATGGAAGCATCTTCATGTGGCTGATTTTTCTGTGTGATTTTAGTTTGTTTTAGTCATCAAATGACAACATTTATTTAATATTTTTCGTTTTTATTTGTTTTTCCTGGGCCAATTGAAATACAATAATGACAATTCTGGACAGAGTCACTTTGTGCTAAAATTGAAATATTCTATTGCATTAATTTAGGGATAATTAGTGCGTGACAATTAATTAAAAAATACTTGAATACATTTATTGTAGTAGCATTGTAATTAATTAATGGACCAAATTCAAGTTGAACACGAGCCAACTCGTTAGTAATTTATTCCTTTTAACAAACGCTAATTTTTCTAATATAATTTTTTGAACAATGCTACATGTACAATTGTAGTTTACATATGCTTTCGAATTTATATATGCTACATATGCTACATGTATAACTTTTATACGTATGCTATATGTATAATTGTAGTTTACATATGCTACATGTATAATATTTATACGTATGGTGTTATGCTTTCGAGTTTATATATTTATTCTATGGTTAGATGCATATAAAATAACAATCTGTTTTGCAAACTTCAAATAAAATAGTTATGAAAAATAAACAAATATAAACACAAGTGTGATTCTGATAACAATACGGAGGTTTTTGTTGAATTTCTACCTTTGTGTTGGCATTGACGAAATTAGGAATTTCACTCAGAGGAGTCCGATTTTAAATATTATAATGAACTTTTAGTTTAAATCAAAAGGCTCATTTATTATAAATATGTATTTACCATGAATATAAATATTGATATGTGTACCATCAAGTTTTTCAAAACATAGAATCCATATCACCTTCAGACTTTAAAAAAATAAACCAAAAAAAAATATGAGATTTCATGTATGTATAACTTAAGTTCAACATCTATAGTTTATGTAAAAATAACTTTTTTTGATTGAAAATTTGATTTTAATTGAAGTTTTGCAGCACATTGCATAGCATTTTTGTTGATGAGAGTTTATCAAATGAACATTTTTTTAGAAGTAAATAAATAAATTTAAAAATATGTGATTACACATAAAAAGAAAGTACAAAAATCAGCACAAAAAATATAACAGTCCAACTAAATACTGGATTTTGTAAATCACTAAATCGATTTACAATTAAGAGGTCGAAAGAGTAAATCATTATGAATATTTTCAAAAATTTATCTAGATAGGTAAAATATAAGGATTATTAGTACATTTTTTAATAAATAAATAATATTATTTTAATTTTAAATTAAAACAATATAGAAAATAAGTTTTAATTATTAATATATTGTACATATTTTTTACATTTCTATACATATTATAGTATTTTCTTTATATATATATTATTAATTTTTTAAAAAAAATCAGGGGGGGCCTGAGCCCAATACAGCTCCGTCAGTGGGTGCAGGCCAACAAGTGCCGACTAGATGAAATATAAGATTTTTCAATTGCAGAAGTAAAAATGAAAAAAAAGAAAAGGATAGATATATTTAAATGAAATAAAAACCAATGTTTTGAGACCAGACCTGCACGATGGATTGGCCCGGGGCTTGAGATCGTCCGCGTGAGTTATTTGGATCGGGTAGTAAGGGACCCAGTTAAAATCAGATCGGTTTGAGTCAAACATTAATTTTTTTTTTTTTTTACATTTTATTTGTAAAAATAAAATTATCAATGTATATGACTATATGTATATATATTTATATGATAAATATTTATAATAAAATACAACATTATCAAGACCTTGGGGTATAAAATTTACATATAAATAATTTATTTTATGTATTGTTATAAGGTAAAAATAATATAAATATATTTAAAATTTTATAACATTAATTAACCGGTTCACCAATTGAATCGGAGACTCGACGGTTGGACCGGTGACTCGGTATGTAGCTCGGGTCAATCATCGGTTCGATTTTAAAACTATGATAAAAACAAGAAAAAGAAAAGGAATAGAACAAATTAACCAATGTTTGGGAGTGACTAAATAAAGAAATATTTTGAAAATTTCATCTCACCAAAAAGAGATAAAAAAGCGGGGAAAATATTTTAAAATGAGCGTTTTTTACTACGAATAATCTCCCATGTATAAATGCAAAGATTTACAAATATATGTGTCTAACATCTAGTGTTTTGTAATGATCATATGCGGGTAGAGTTTTCCGATTCTATATGTCAACTTACGCTTTTGTGTATATGTCAATTTTTTGGGATTGAAGTAGTCTATATAGATCTAAACTTCTATTCATATTTATTAGGACTTATAATATAATAACGCTTGGATAACTTAAATTGTTAATATATTTTAAAAGTTTATAATTCTGAATCCGTCATCAAATTTTCATACAGGATATACCAAATTAATCATCTCATCTCATGATAAACTTCGATTTGATATCAGTACTGCTTATGTAAATAGATATGTACTTTTTCATATAATATAAATTACATTATTTATGAACATTAATTGACATATAATAAAAACCCTATGAGATATAATAAAAACCCTATAAATTACATTATTTATGAACATTATTTTAAAAGGTTAAGGGTATGTTTTGCCGCCGTTTCTGACATGGTATCAGAGCAGGTTTTATTGGAGATCATGCGATGACGTACTCGTTTTCCCCCACGTACCCGTTTATGGAAGCCTGTTTCTAGTAGGGCTTGGGACACCCGGCTCCGTATATGGATTTGAGCTTTCTTATTAAAGACTCACAAGTGAGGGGGCGTATTAGAATATTCACTTGTGAGTTGTCCCACATTGTTTATATAGAGAAAATATTCTAATTTATAAATCTAATAGGCTACTCCTCCTTCCACCAATTGTTTTGGGATGAAACTCCACTTGGGTTTCATCTGGATTTTTCTTACTTATGGTGCGCTTCACGTGTGTGGGACCGCACCCGTTTTGCCCCTGTTTCTTACAAAATACATGGCTTGAACACGATGTTATAGGGGCGGCCCGTTTTGCCCCCGTTTCTTACAGAATCCATGGATGTTATAGGGATGACATACCCACGTACGCAGGATCGCTTCTTAAGCTTTCTCCTTCCTCCTTTGTACCAAAATAAATAAATAAATAAATAATAAAAACATACTTATACAGTTTTTGTTCCCTGAATGTTATAGTGCTTTGCTCCAATAATAATTTAAATTTGCTTGATTTATTTAGTTATTTTACAATTAAATCCTGACTAACAGATACTTATATAGGAGTTTGGTTTAACAAAATTGTGCTTCTCATGCCTCACTTTTTTTAGTCATCTTATTTTACTTGAAAAAATTTCTACAAATGTTGTATCAACAAAATATATCATTAGTTTCTTAATCATGGCTTAACAAAGATTAAGGTCCACCGATAACTTCTGTTTCCCGCGCCACTATTGAAGTCATGTTTCTACATACAACAAAAAGATTACTAAGAAGANTTTTTAAATCTAATTCAAAAAATTAT